CTTCCCTGCCCCTCTCTCCTGCTCCGCTCCTCCGTCCTGCCAGGTGGGGTGTGAGAGGGAGGACAGCCAGGCCCTATTAATAGAGGGAGGGAGGAATCGTGATGACAGCTCCTGGAGGGGCTGGAAAAAGGATTAGAGAGAAGAGGAGGCAGCGAGGCAATAGGACTGTGGGGCTGTTGATTTCTGCTGAAGTTAAACTGCTCTTCACAGACAAACACCAGAAGAGAAATGAGAGGTTGATGACAAACGAGAAGACAAACCCAGCTGGACACCGGCACCCTGCTCCTCTTCCTCTGCCGGCCCCTCCTGGACACCGGCTCCCTGCTCCTCTTCCTCTGCTGGCTGCTCTCCGCCTCGCCCCTCTCCTTCTCTTCCTGCTGTTCAGCTGCTGCACCTTCCCCTGGGGAAGAGAGCAGGGAAACACCCAGCCATGGAAACACAGGCAGGCCGGCTGGCAGGGAGAGAGGGCGGAGCTCAGGGAAGGGCTACACTTCCCCACCACAACCAGCTGCACCTGCCCTGGTGTGAGGATCAGAGCGGCAGGAGGGCCGAGGCGCTGCAAGGAGGAAGCTCCATTATATCAACTCCCCTCATGCACCTGGCTCTGAGTATTATGTGTCAACTAAGCCATTGCATTATATTGCAGTGAAGTGTGGGGTCCAGTCACTGACCATATAACACAAGTCCTGGTCTGTAATTGTGGAGAAAAACACCAATCCATTATTAATTCAGATACAGAAGAGAGCAATCAAATACTGGTTACACCTGCGAAACAGCAACCAGAATCCCTACCAGCCAGAACCTGGAGCTGAGCCCAGAGAAGAGCCCCTCAGCAAGCTGGTCCTGAAGCTCACGGACACCAACCAGCACAGCTACAGCAACACAAATCACAATCAACCCAACCACAGCACAAGATAAACAACACTACAACACACACAAACACAACACAAACTGGAATACTACAGAACACTAAACAGACAACACACACTAGCTGATTATCGGACCAGGGGAAGAAACAGCAACAACAAACAGCGACCACAGCCTGGCCAGAGAAACTGGACACAGGTAGACCTGGCTATCCAGAGAGGACAGGCTCAGTGACCACAGCCTGGCCATAGAAACTGAACACAGGCAGACCTGGCTGCCCATAGAGGACAGGCTGTGCTCCCACTCCCAGCAGGGAGAAACAGAGACAGAGATGCACTTCCTACTGCACTGTGATAAATACTCAGGGATTAGACAAACATTCTTCCCCACAATAACAAATCTAATCCCAGAATTCCCACACCTACCAGAATCACCACAGCTCCCAATCCTACTGGGAGAGGAAACTCAATAGAGCTGCAGCACAATATGTGATCTCCTGTCACAGCCTGAGAAACACATAGTGAGTTTCTCAAAAATGTATGTTATTCTGTATGTTATTTATTCAAATTTAAAGCTTTAAATTATTTTCTATTGATTTACTTATTGTTTATATGCCTGTTCATGTGACTATATATCAGGTAAATTAGTTTTACTATGTAGTGCTTTTATATTCTTATAACTCATTTAAAAAACATTTTTTTCTTTTCTTCTCCCAACCTTATAGCATGTTGTTCATTGTTCTAATGTTCACATGATTGTGAACTTGTCAGAGAAGCAACTGTTTGCTACATCAATCATGCCAATAAAGCTCTTTGAATTTGAATTTGAATCTTAGAGAGAGAGAGGCAAAGAGGGAGCCTCGTGGAGACAGGGGGTGGGTGAGAGAGAAAGAATGGGAACATTCGTTCGGAAGTTCTGTTACTTTCTTGTTTAATCACCCAGCTCCGATATCCTGGATTCTTTAGTCTTCTGTTGCCCTAACGAAGGCAGCAGCCTGTCCAATCAGAGGCGCCGGCCTTTTGTCATACTGAGATTGCCACAGCCTGTGTGATCCCTGAGACACAGCCCTATTCTGCTCCCCATGACCTTTGACCTCCAGGCCCTGGGACCTGTGCTCAGCAGGGAGAAGGGGGTGCAGGGAGAGCTCTGGCTCTTTAGGTGTTTTGTCTTTTTTTCTTGATTCCCTTGTGCTCCTTTGCTGCTCTATTTCATTGAAAGGAAATGGCCTGAGACAGCACAGGTCGCCTGGCAACTGAGAGAGAGGAGAACAGAGAGAGGGAGAGAGGAGAGAGACGAGGGGAGAGAGGGGGAGAGAGAAAGAGAGCTTCTCTGTCCTGCTTGAACACAACTGAAGCAGGAACCACTGTTGACCACTCTGCTGAACACAACTGACACACTGACAAACTCACACACAACTGACACTCTGCCACACTGACTCACACACTTATCAACACACTGACAAACTGACACTCATTGATAAACACTGTGACTGACACACTGAATCTCAAACTGACACACTGATTTACACACTGACTCTCACACTGACACACTGATTTATACACTGACTCTC